TTTTCTTCATGTTATCTCACAATAAACCCTGTAACATTTTGCTATTAGGTGGTTATTATCCTTCCAAAGGAAGCTAAGTCACAGAAAGTTAGTTATCTGAGGTCACAAACCTAAAGATGGTGAGAGTCAGGAATCTAGAACCCAAATCTGAAGTCACTATATAATACCGCTTACTAACTTATTGGCTAATTGATTATAAAAATTAGTCCCTCACAATCTTTTCTCTGACCAAATAAAATGGATGACCCTATAAAATTGTATTGTAAAGCTATTTTAGTTTCTTTCGAGGAAGAAAATAAGAGGTTGATCTTTACTTTGGTAAAGGTCACTGAATTAATGCATGCATCTGTCTATCCATTCATTTGCTCTTCCCTCCTTCTCTTGTCATCCTATTTTAAAGTTGTCTTCCCAGGCTACAGTTGACCAACCACTTTCCATGTAGAGAAATATAATGGCTGACTGGGAATAAGATGGAATTTGGCTCCAACCTTACAGCTGTGCAATTTGGCACATTTTTTCAAATGCTGTGTGCCTCCGGTTTTTATTTGTAAATTGAGGGTAAAAATTGTATTTAGTTCTGAGGGTTGTGGTGAGGCCCAACCAGTGCAGGTAACATGGAGGGCAAGTGCCTGGTGCATCATTAGCATCTGTAAGGTGTCAGCTGTGTGAGCGCTCACCTGAACCCTTATCACTAGATATGATGAAAACATTTATTAGTGTGGTTCAAAGCCAGATGGAGCTTTTCAAAAACACATTTAAAATTTCTAACATGTTTCAAAATATATATCTAAATTCTGTAAGAGCATTTTCATATTACAATATTCTTTTTAAACTTCATTTTAGTCTTTTTTATTTTATGTTTAAAATTAATATAAATGAAAACAAACCATTTATATAGGAACTACAACATATGCTTTTCATACTCTTCATTTAGTCTGGTAAGTTTAATTTGAAATCTTTTGCTGAAGAAAATTTGACTTAATTTGCTTATTGTATTTTGCCTCTTTTGCTTTTTATATCCTGAAATATGCTCTAAAATACTTTTTGAATGCTCTAAAA